CTCCTCTGCATCTACAGCATCTCATCTTACTGAAACATTCCATTCGTCGATCGATGTATCGCATTTCGCACAATCGTGTGCCAAAACCTATGGTCTCCTCCTTTTTTTTCTTAGTGCTACGTCCTGTCAACCAGAATCCTTTCAACTTTATTTGTACTCTGCTTGTTTCGACACTCTGGTCCACATGGTTCATTGTTTGCTTGTTTGATTGACACCAAAAAAACATGCTAAAGGCCATCCCAAAGAAAGTGTTCTTCACGATCAGATATGCAATAAATTTACATGAAAGATAATCAGTCCTCAAACAACATCCCACTCATCCGCAGACCATGCGCCCGGGCCAGCCAACCCAGGAACAACAACCTGCCACAAAAATGCCCAAACACGTTCCTCATCATCCAATCTTCCCTGATATCCTGCGACCCTCATCACAGCCTCCCACCCTTTAACTCCTTGCCAAATCCTCACTCCTTCCGAAACATACTCACGCATCTTTTCCTGCCGTCCCTCAACCCGCATCAGAATCTCCACACGGTGCATCACACGATCAAGACGGGCTATTGCATCCGAGAGGACGTGTGTACCAGTTTCAATGCTCCCTGCTCCGAGGGCGTACCCAAGGATAGATCGGTAAGCTGCTGTGCGGGTCGTTAATGGAGTAGACAGATATCGAAGGAGTGAGGGATGGTGGGTTAAGGCTTGAAGCTCAGTGGATGGGTATGAAAGGGATTTGTAAAGGGCTTCCAAATGCGCTTTTCGTGACGTTGAGTAGATGGGTTGAGAATCTGGACGAGAAGCGTACAACGGTCCCCATATGAGTATGACACTAACAGATGAATAGAAAATAGGGGACATTGGAACGTACCAACTGCCACTCCAAAAACCTCCACTCCCCGAGCACCCCCCGTCATGAACTCAATCCAAAACGTTTCCCCAAAAACCCATTCCCCAAATACACCATCGGCGTCCCACTTATCCAACAAGCCAACAGCAAACCCATCTTCTCCGCACCCTCGATCAAATACCCTTGCTTCACCCAAATTGAAAGGAACCAGTCGTACCTCCCCTACCCGACCAGGTAATATGCTCAATGGGTCGGGTGCTTCGAGATCGGTCGACGTGGGTGGCATGGTGGGTCGGTAGGTTTGAATGGCGATCTTGCCGTGATCAAGAGTGTAACGGGTGCTAGGAAAGACTTTGACAGACCATTGTTTGGACGGATCATTTTTGGCGATCAGAGTTAGGATTCTGTGATGTGACCTATGGACCATAATTGTTGGCACACCTTGTACATTTCTGTATTGTAATAGGTCCCCATGGCTTCTTACCTCATGATCGGCGTTGCTATTTCGCACCACCTCTTTGAAACTTGTCGGCATTTTGCAATCTCGAGATATGAAAGATACTGCATAATGGTGTGCGATACAGGTGGAAGGTCAAGCAAAATGAATGGAATCAAACTGGCCGTCCGTGTAGGGATTGTAGGTGAGTAGGGTTCTAAATACCAGTCAGTCAGCACTGTTGGATGTAAACAGAGTTTGACGACATTCCATACAACCTGCAGCAGGAGCAGCGCCCCAGAGTTTCTTGCCCAACTTTTTCTTGCTCACCGTGATCTTCTCGATTGTCATTCCCTTAGCTTTTACATAGGTGGGTTCAACTACTCCATCTGCCACGTCTTGTGATAGAAACATCTGTCGTTCACGCTCATAGGCGTCCGTCGAAGTGTGCACGCCGGCAGCGCAAATGTTGCCCATTGCTGCAAACCGTAGTGGCCCTTATGTGCGAGAAAACGTTCGAAGCAACGGTTGTGTACCAATATGGTGAAGAAAAAAATATTCACAGCGGATTTCAGTATTTGAAACTACTCATGGCAGGTCGGGACGCTACTGGTCGTCCTTGAGATCTCAGCGACATTGTGGAATAGGTCGTCGACTCAGCACCGAACCCTACTGCACAGCCACGCCTCAAGTGGCAATGTTAAGTGGCTAAGCATATATATTAGGTAATCGCCAATTCAAGGATCTCCTAAGGTCAATGACTTGACAAAAGACTTGCTGCAATGAGCAACTGTTACATATTGTAGGCTATACTTTTTACTCATAGAAGCTACTCTGTACAGTGAGATGGTAACACCGTCGACTCCTAATCCACTAGAATACACTGCATTCTCCAAAACAACTCCGGCCAGCCTATCGGTCAGCCTTGTAGACGTAGAAACGGTTGAGGAACATCTGAAGGATAGATGCACCAAAGCAGATACCCGCGTTGATGTAGAAGAACTTTGCACGGCCGGTGTGGTCAGTATCACCAATGGGTGACTCGAAAAGTGCCGTGGCCTACAGATTGAATTGATGAGCATCGATGCGGTCAAATCGTCAGAAAGAACTTGTTGCAAACTTACAAAGACGTTTCCAAGAGCGGTTCCCAACAACCACAGGGCAGCACAGGATGACTTTGTTCGCTTGCCGACTTCCATGTAGGTGAAGTTCAATCCGGAGATGGAGAACAAAATCTCACCAGTAGTCATAATGAAGTATGGAATGATAAAGATGGGTGTGCTGATTCCGTCGTCAATGCACTCAGTTGACGTGACGCCCGCATTTGTGAACTCACGGACAACACAGTTGCTGCTGACACGATTTTGGATAATACCGCAAACGATGAAGGCAAGACCACAGAGAATCATTCCGACGACCATACGTCTCAAGAGACCAAATTGCACTCGACGTTCAATGGCAGGGTAGATGAAGTTGGCCCAGATAGGTGCGAGGATAACAATCAGCAAGGGGTTCATGACGGCGTTGATAGTCTCAGACGATGGCCAAACACTTCGGTTCATTTGATCAGTAAGAGATTGCCATGAAGTATTGTTCTGGTCGAATGCCATCCAGAAGAAGGGCGCGGGGGAAATAACCATAATGACGCGGAGAAGATCAAATAGCTCGATCACATTAGTTTCACCCTGGGACTCGGAAGCTGCAGCTTTTGCCTTCTCGTGGTTGAAGCCGTTTGTAAGAGCATTCTTGGGAATAGGAAACGGGCGGTCTTGAACAATTGCCATGGGATAAATTGGACCG